GAAAAATATTATTATATGCTACGGTTGTGGCGAGGATACTTGTAGCAAAACATTGGAAGAGCGATAAAATTCCAACTAGAACTGAATGGATAGTGAACTTAGTAGAATACGCTGAGCTAGCTAACCTCTCTGAAAAGTTTAAAGATAAGTCTAAACAAGAGTTTATTTCAAACTGGGAACATTTTAAGAAATATTTTAAAAAGAATAGTTGCCAAGACTTGAACACAGTTGTAGCCTTTGAGTAACATTTGTAAATAACTATGTTAAAGGAAATTGCAGAGGAACTTTAATACTTTATTATTAAATAGGTAGTCAAATTTATGTAACAAGTTTATTAAAATGTAAGAAATATGGAAAGGACGGGAAGTTACTGGTTGATGGAGAAAATTTATTGTTAAAGAGTTTGTATTTTTCTTTGGGTTTTTTGACAACCTTGATTCATGGATAACAATGAATGTAAGTTTATGTTGTACAGATGTGATTATGAATAATAAAGCATAAAAAAGAAAGAAGAAGAAAAGAAAATGGAAAGTGCATCCTGCTTCTGCAACACAGACAGAGCAACAGAGTGATTTAAAGTTTTTGAATAATCAGTCTATATGATTGGGAGTATGTGCATCTGAACTGTTGCTGGGATTCAGTAGTTTTGCTGGTTGCTGATTAAGTTTCCTCCTGAATCTTAGCATGTGGAATTTGCAAAGAAAATGAAGCTGCATTCCATTCCTAGGACCTTTCTTCTTCTTCTTCTTCTTCTTCTTCTTCTTCTTCTTCTTCTTCTTCTTCCACCTCCTCCTCCTCCTCCTCCTCCTCCTCCTCTTCCTCTTCCTCTTGCAACATGTTCTAAAGATGGTGTTATAGAAACACTAGGAACAAGTGAAAACTAGGATTTTGATTGGGATATGGATTTTTTAAAAAACAAAAATATAAACAGCAGGGCTGTGCCAGACAGAGAATTCCTGGGCAAACCAGTCTGGCTGGCTGAGGGAAGAGCAGGGCTGTTAGCATGACGATAGAGAGCCTTCAGGGTCCTCAACAGCTCCTTGCCCCAGGTGTGACCATAGACTGGAGATTTGGAAGGTTGTCAAGGTAACTACTCTGGGGGAGGGGCTTCTGGGAAGAAGGAGGAGGAAGAAGAAGGGGATGATCCATCTTGGTGAGGAAGAAGGAAAGACTGCCTGCAATGCTCTGGGCCATGCTGTAAGATCTGGATCTGCTCTATGAAGGGGTAAATAGGTGAATAAACCCAATTTCTTAAAGCACGACGGTCTCCGCCATGTTTTCTTTTCTCCAAAGGAACACAGACCCTGTGTGAGTGCCTGAGATCCTATGCGCTCTTGCCACAGCTTAGCAGAGAGAGGGACAGACATCGGGCTTCTGTAACAATATTGTTGTTTTTGTGGTCCAGTAGACGAAATATCTGACTCGGACCTCACCTGAACACATGTAGCCTGGGAAAGCAGTTGTGCTGTACTTCCTGCCATTCTGCAAAACTTTGCTTTCAGCTCACATATGGATTGCAACAGTAGTTCCCTTTCAGTAAAAGAAAGTTTACTATTCTGATAATGGATTAAATAAAAATTGCCGAGCGTTGTGTATATGAAGAGCTACTACATAAATAGTGAATAATGACAATAATAATATTTAAGAAAGCCTGGCCTTTTTGCCTCTTTCTTTACATTGGTTTGATTATTGGGTGACGTATCCTTGAAGCAGCAGATGTTTAGATGAACAGATTTGTAGCTGTAGTCACTCGTCATTCTGCTGCACAGTGCTTAGAATAAAATACTAATTATAGCCTTAGTGCATGCAATCTGTTTTGTACTAAAAATATTCTGTCTCGCATTCTTTCCTCCACAGGTGCTACTTAGCTTGAAAATAAATGGGAGTCGCATTTTAATATATATGTGCTTTTTATCATTACCATTGCCTCCTTTCGAGAATAGTAGAGAGAGATTTCAGGAAACTATAGCTATTAAGAAAAGGGGTGGGCTGGTGTTTGAGTAATTACTAATGCAATTAGCTGACAAAGAAGTGTTTTGTACTTTTATAATCATAAAGAGGTGTTTTATAACGGGAAGGGGTGGTTACAGTAGCAAATAGACTAGAGTCTCAAATAGTTAGCAACCAGTAATTTGAAATATCTGTGACTGCACTGCTTGTGGAATGAGAAATAAAAGTTGCAAGTTTAGAGAAGCAAAACTTTTGCTTTAAATATTGCTTTTCTTATGGGTATCATACTGTTATAGCTGCTTGCAGACTATTCCTTTCTTAGGTCACAGATGGGGAACCTATATGCCTCCATTAATTGCTATCCTCCCATCAGCCCCAGACAGCTTGGGCAATGGTAAAGGACAACGGGAGTTGTCGTCCAAAATGGGCCACAGGTTCTCAATCCCTATCTTGGACTCAGCGGTGGATGGTGCCCATTGGGACTGGTAGGGCAGAAGGCAAAGAGGCCAACAGTAGGTGGAACCAGAGCCAATAGCAGACAGAGTCAATCATGGGCTTAGCCAAGGGGAGGCAATAAAAATACATAGCTAACTGAGGTTCTGCCCCTCCTAAGAAAAGGCCTCCACCCCCTGGCTATGCCCATGGAGTCAATTAATTCTCCTTTTGCCGCCATTCTTCTCCAGGCTGAGATCCACAAGGGCAAAACGGGAACTAAGGAAGAGGAAGCTGACAGCCAGTGTCAGCCCCTTGGCTGCTGATAAGCAAGGAGGCAGGCAGCTAGGGGCTGGCTGAGAGCAGACTAGGGTTACTAGGGCAGTGTACCATTTGTCCTAATCAAAAAGTCTCCACTGCTTGGGTGAAAAGTGCAGAATGATTGGCTGATGGGATTTATTGGTTTCGAACTGGGGAGGGCAGGATTGCTTGGTGCATTTGAATGAGTTTAGAGTTTAGCAGAGATGACATCCCTCCAGCTCGGGACTACGGTAAGCTTAGGGGTAGGTGAGTGTGAAAGTGAAAAGAAACATTTTTGAAGTTAGTTAGATAGATAGATAGATAGATGATAGATAGGTAGATAGGTAGATAGAGGCCCCAGGACTGGAAGTCCCCACACCAGCTGCCTGGGTTTCTAGCTGGTTCTCAGACATGCACACGCATGTACATAAACACTTGTCTCCTGCTGTGATGCCATGATACTAAAAAAAATTTGGTGTGGCCACCTAAGACCCCTTCAAACCTTTTCCATTTAAATAAAAAAACAAGTAGGGTTTTTAGGGTTGTTATTGGAGCCATACATTCCTGGCTCCAATAAAAGTTAGAATTGATCAAGGTTTGGAGGAGTTAAACTGCAAAACACTGGAACACCCCCCCCCCCAAGCTTCTGTTAACATGCCAAGCCAGCCTGGTGATAGCTTGCTGAATGTGGGTCATTAGGGGGACAAAGACTGGTAATGACCTATGGAAAGCTATCAGGAGGGTGGAGACTGCGCAAGACAAGGAGGGGTGGGGACCTCCCTCCAGCTGTTTGTTAGTTTGCAGAGACAAAAGGATGTAGGAAGGAAGGGAAGAGTTTCACAGGGCTAGGGGAGACAAGGAAGAGGAAGGGAGCTGAAGAGCACTGTGTAGGCTGACCGTGACAGGCTGTAACAAATAGACAGAGAGCATGGCTGATGATGCATTTTTTTCTCATTAATTAATGGAGAATGGTTTTTTTAAAATGGGAAACTTTTGGCACAGCACTAATCAAATTATTCACTTAAGAGTGATTATAGTTGATATTATCCCAGTCTGTCTTTGATAACTGAGCTTAGGAAGAAGAAAAAAAGAAATGTGCAGACAATCTATGTTCATTCAGACACAGCTTAATGATCTTCAGTTCGATATTTGAGCATCAGTATATTTATTAAGAAGCTAAAATTGCAGGACCCAAGGGTTTAATCATTAACAAGAAACTGGATCCGCTGACTGTATCTTCGTCCTCCGTGATTGCTACAGTCAGCGGATCTTGGTTTCTACCTTGTAGATGCCAGCATGCAGTTCTGGCAGCATGCCAGCAAGTTCATTCCAGGTAAATGGAGCATCACTGAAGATGTGTCCTAGTTTATGTACCAAATGCCTTAAAACAATTATTCTGGTGGTGCAGGTAAACACGAGTTATAAAGACCAATACAAAATTTGTTTATAATACCTTCAGCATACTGCCCAGTGTATAGGTAAAGGGACCCCTGACTGTTAGGTCCAGTCGCGGATGACTCTGGGGTCGAAGCACTCATCTCGCTTTACTGGCCGAGGGAGCCGGCGTACAGCTTTTGGGTAATGTGGCCAGCATGATGAAGCTGCTTCTGGCAAACCAGAGCAGTACACAGAAACACCGTTTACTTTCCCGCCGGAGTGGTACCTATTTATCTACTTGCACTTGATGTGCTTTCAAACTGCTAGGTGGGCAGGAGCAAGGACTGAGCAACAGGAGCTCACCCCGTTGCGGGGATTTGAACCGCCGACCTTCTGATTGGCAAGCCCTAGGCTCTGTGGTTTAACCAACAGCGCCACCTGCGTCCCTCTTGCCCAGTGTATACCAAAGGTTTAAAAGCCACTGGCCCCTATTCTATTCAAGAGTGTTAGTTCTCTAAACCTCATCTGTTAACTGAGAATGTAAACCTGCCTCATGGAGGAGAGAGCTATCAGTGGCAGCTAGACATGGTGGAAATGTTCTGCCTCAACAGTTGCAAGCAGCAATGCTTCTGAGCCATGGGCGTAGCCAAGGGGGGCGGGCAGGGAGGGGCAGCGCCCCCAAATCAATAAAATACATAGCAAACTGAGGTCCACTTCCCTTACTAAAGGCCTGCCCCCCAACAAAAATCCTAGCTACGCCCATGTTCTGAACAGCGGTTGTTGGAGACCACAGGAGCAGAGAGTGCTCTTGTGCTCAGGTCCTCCTTGCTAGTTTTCCACAGGCATCTGTTTGGCCACTGTGAGAACAGGATGCTGGACTCGATGGGCCACTATCTTGATCCACCAGACTCTTCTTATGCTCTAATTCCTGGCATACACACATACGTTTTGTCTATGAGGCAGGATGGCACTTTTGGCCGCCGTCTTTAGGGTGGCCTAACCAAAAGAGAACAGGACTTGCGCACCATGTGTCTCCCATCAAGCTGCACCTACTGAAATCTTCTCTTCTGCACAACCAACATGTGGGGCCTTGGTCCTCTTTTGCATTTTCTGATTATTATCCATGACAAAGGGCTTCGCGAAATGCAGAAAGAAAATATTTCACACAGCTGAAACCAGCAGCAATGGGCTTTGCATATACCGGTACACATATTTCATAGCTTGTTTCAGTTGCCTGAAATATTTTCAGCGTTTTGCTGAAGTGTTGAAGCAGGAAGACAAACTTTAAGTAGTGCTTGAAATAATAAGGCAGTGGTTTAAATTTTTGGTAGTTTTAAGGGAAGAACAAATTCTAGTACAGTATGCTTATCAGTTGGAAACGACAAGACTTGCTAAGAGCCTGAACATAATAAAAGAGAAGAGTCAAGAAGGACTTCAAGACTTAAGGAGAAGAACAAACAACCACATTCTCAGAAATGTGAATGTGGGTTGAAAGGGGCTGAGAAGCAGTCAGGGGGCTAAAGCTGTGTTTAAGCAGAGTCATGTTTGAGAAAACATAAAGCACTCTTAAATATAAACAAAAGTGGTCTCTAGATGTGGTGTAACAGGATAGGTGCTGTTGTCAAAAATATGGGGTAATATTTTTCTTTTTAGGGAAAGGGATTGTATTTGTTTCCAATAGTTTGCACTTTTCTTTCCTCCCTCCCTCCCTCCCTTCCTTTGCTTCCTTTTGGAACCATAACTGGACTTCATTTATTTGCCATTTATCTTCAGGATCTTTTGTGAAGTTTGCGAATGATCAGTGCATCCAGCCCTTTGCTTTGCAGGAAGCAAATGGGTGGGGGCAGTTTAAGTCTGAATGATAACACCAGTAATCTGGACTATCCTAAATTTGTTAACCTTCCAGGTATGCTGCAATTCTGGAATTTTTTTGTTTTGTTTGGTTTTGTTTTAGGAGGAAACACAGTTACCAAATAGAATCATTCACAGTGAATGTGAATTCTCCAGTTCTCTATGGAAGGGACAAAATGTTCTAACTGATAACAAAAACCCAAAAAAAACTTGTTGTGGACATAGGAGAAGAAAGTTCAAGTTCAAGTTTGTCCAGCAGGGAGCCTCCAGCTGGAGAGTTGTTACCATTCTCAGTACACATATGATGGCCAGAACTACAGCTCTTCATTCTAGCCAGGACCATGTGACTTTGAGGTATCAATAGGTGGGAATCATAACAGGAGTCATAGCTAAGTGTTTGTCTGCAATCATACCATAGGAAGTATACAAATCACACTTAAGTCCAAGGCTATGGGGGAAATACTGAATAGGCAAAAGTTTCAATGTATGCTAACCGGATGTCCAGCTAAGGATGTGTACACACCATATACTTAAAGCACATTATTCCCCCCAATGGATTCTGGGATCTGTAGTTTACCCCTCGCAGAGCTACAATTCCCAACACCCTTAACAAGCTCCAGGTGCCGGAGCTTGTTCGGTCAGTCCCCATCCAAGAATGCCCAGTCCAGATGTCACACAAGGTTTTCTTAACATACAATGAGTTGGGGTGGCCCAATACATGTTGCTGCTTGAGACACAGCAGCAAATGGCACCCTGCCCCTCCTCCCAAGTCAAGGTGCATTGTACTCAGGTTACTTAGGCACCTGAGATAGAAAATCCCCATTCCTCCTCCTGAGTAGTAAAAATATACTAATACCTATGTATGTTCTGCCCTTTTGTGAAATCCAAAATCAACTGCCTCCCTCTGCCTAATGGTAGGGCTGGTCGGTCCAGGTCCAGGAGCAAGTGTTGCAGTAATTCTGATTCCCTCACGTGGGGTTTGATGGCTGAGCCACTAAGATAGCATGAGGATTAGATTGCATAATGTCCAAAGGTCTTCCCCAGATGGCTGGACACTTTAACCAATGTTCTTCTGACCTTATCTCCTCTTAGCAGTCCTGAAAGAACCCCTGCAGGCTTCTCTCATCTTCTTTTCCACCCAGTGAAAGCAGAGGCGCAAGTCAGCACTTGGACCTGCCCTTTTCTGTGGTTATCATTGATGGGTTGTTTTCTCTGCTATAGTCACCAGCAAGTAGCAGCAGTAGTGGAGCAGCACTACATCTGAAATGGTGTGTGTTGTGGTATGGGGAAGGGCAGGATGGCTTAGTCCAGGTGGCCTAAGCCACAGGTCTTTTTCAATGGGCCCTGGAACTCCTTCCGCTCTTAAAACAATATCCTTTGCTTACCGAACAGCTGGGAATGCAGCAAAGTGCAGTGCCACTGAGATCCCAGTCACCCTCCAGCTTAATTTGCTCAGAGAGCTAAATAAGCATACATGCACGTAATTAGCATGTCCTAATTTTATGCAAATTTGTGTCACAGACTTCTCTTTTAAGTTCTAAGTCCCACTGTTTCTCTTTTATTGTGAGCTTACTTGAAGCTATCAATATCTCTTACCATGTGAGAGTCAGGTACTGCATGCTACTCTATAAAAAATCCTAAGAAACTGATGTAATTTCATTGATAAGCAAATGCTTGGAAATGTTTCAGACGTGTTTCAGTCCTTGGAGCAAGCCATTCTGTTCTTGCTTCATCCAGCTTTCCCTGAACAGAAGTTAACTTAATAACACACTTGACCTTTAATCTCCTGGTAAGAACATTCCCATGTGTACAATTAAGCTAAGGGAGATAAAGAGAAATATTAATGAAGCTGCAGATATCAAAGGTGTTGGGGAAGCTTTTGAAGATTCATCACAACAGATTTACTACACTGTTTAAAAGTCAGCACTTTGTGGTGTATATGCACCGCGGTGTTGTCAGTCTGTGAAAATCATAGTCTTGTGGATGTGCGGGGGAGAAAGAGAAATAATGGCTATTCACACTCATGCTGGAAAACTTTATTTTAATATGTTATTCTTTATAACAGTCTAGTGTTCCAGTGCACTTGTAAGCAGAAAAGTGCTGTTAAAAATAACAATTTCTGTGGGGTTTGTAGTGGCATATGAAATGCAGCAAGGAAGTTTTCAGTGCACTTATATAACATGACTTTGATGGGACTTACTCCCAGAAGCGGCTCTCTGGGTGCTAGCTTCCCAGCAGGTGGGTTGCTGTTGCTTACCGAGAGGAAAGGTGACATGGAGATCAGTGCGGTGCAAACATACCAGCGGAACCAATCAGGTGGTCCTGCTGCTGCATTTGCTCCACACCAACCTCCCCGGCCACCTTCCCCCTGTCCCTCCCCTTCATGCCAGAAAGTTTGCGTAGTGGCCCCATCCCAAATGGTGAGTTGCTTACTGCTTACTACCAGGAAAGTGTTTGAAGGATTGTAGTCCTAACTGGGTTTGAAGGATCTGCAATAGCCATTCTCTACCAGGAAGTCATGCTGCACAAATCTCATTGAAATTAATGGGAGCTGCCCCCAGACTGTGCTCTTGCGCTGCTGTAGTTCATTTTCAGTTGGGTTTGCACAGAGAATCTCCCAACGCTCCCAAGTTTTCACTTGTGAGCCATATCTCCATCTCCAAAGTTTTCTGTAGCTATTCAGGCCATCAATTATTTATTTTTAAAGCAAAGGGCCTGCAAGATGCTTGCTAATATCCCTGCTATTGCAGAGAAAGAGACATTATACTTCCTTGTAGCTGCCCACCATCAATCTCTTATGTAGCCAGAATTATGCCTCTAGGAATAACTGTTCAAGCCATAATCCTTAGGCTTTATGATAATGTGTGAGTGTGAGTGTGAAATACTTCAGAGATTAAATTACAGAAGTAGCCACCTTCATACAAACACAGATGTAGCAGAGTGACCCATGAGACCATTTTTAAAAAGCAATACATTTCAAGTTGTAAAAGCTACTGAGCCTGGTTATTCTTATCTTAACGTTTATTACACCATTAAACATAACCCAGCATTTCACAAGCACTACCGCAGACCAGTGCAAATGCATTCTGTTTGATTTCACAACCTGAGGGGAGGAAAGACAGTGTGCGTGTGGGTGGGTGGCTGTAAAATGTCAGATAAATGGACTTCTCCAGTGACGTAGACATTTATGAGACTTGGGAATGGAAAATGTGGATAGATGTCCAGCAGATAAACATATTCACAAATATGCAACCTTTGTGGTCAAAATGCAAGTGCTGTTTAGCAAGGCTAGATCCATGCCGTAACATCTTTGCCCAAACGTTTTAGGTGGTTCCCTGCTACCACACACTATTTTAATAGTCTGAGAAACCCCAGGAAGCTCAGGCTCTTAATACACCTTCTTCCAGCTCAATTGAAATCCTTAGAGCAGTTCTAATGAACTTCCTCTTGGGAGTTCTGTAGATCATAAACTCATACTGGGAAGCACAACAGGGCTTAATTAGCCAATCCACAACCACAGGATTTAAAAACCAACTTGGTGAATTAATTCAAAGCATATGACCCTGCCTGGAAGAATGACCTTCTGCTCCCCTCCCCCTCCATTTAAGTTTAGCAGGAGAGGTGGGAGAGAGAACAAGAGCTCTTGCACTGGAGAACTTGGCCCAGGTGGCATGCAACCTTTCCCTTCACCAGCAGCGGAGGGTGGAACAGTGTCACCTTCCTCTTCGCTGCCATTTTTATTTTGCTTTTGTGGTTGAATAGTGGGGTATGATTTGTGTGTACGAAAGCACCCTGTGATCCTCGGGTAAATGAATGAATGAATGAATGAATGCATCCAAAATAGCATTAGAACAACACAGCAGTTAAGAACTAAGAACTAGGGTACAACTAAATAAATATAAAGGTGCACAATGAGAAGGTGCTTTGGTGATTGGAGGTTTAATCTGAAATCCAGCTGGATTTAATATTGTTGGTGTGTCTTCTGTCTCTTACATCATGGATGCTGGCTTATTTTATGGATGGATGTTCTGTATTGTTTTATTAATACTATTGCTACAAGTTTGTCATCACCTTCATCTAGAACAATTTACTTATGAACTATGCTAGTCATGAGAAAACTTTCTTGAAGTTTTGTATTGTGGAAGGAGGAATTGCTTTGACCTTTTTTTTCTGAAGGGAGGTGGTTTAATAATAAAAGCTAGAATCCATTCTTGATTACATTGCCATTTAGGAAAAGTCAGGAATCATTGTAATTTAGTGAAGTGCACATTTCTACTTTTCATTTTACCACATTTTCTAACTTCGTAGCAAAGTTCTGGGTTTTAATGCAATTTGTGCACATAGTATTAACAGGAAAATGTTTATTAGTTTTCCTTTTGGTGTCTGGCAGAAGGGAATACTAAAAACACGGGGGTGGAAATGACAGGTAAAATTCTGAATAGAGTTTTATGTTACAAATTATGATATGGGAAAGGCTATTTTTGAAAATGCCTTAAACTTGCCAAATTGATCTCTCCCATTTATTTTTTTCTTATTTTAAAGTGGCCAGAGGATAGCAAAAAGAAAATTAATCTTCTTACTTCACTCTATTATGTTCAGAAGCTGCTGTGACATCATGTTAATTTGGTGTTTTCATGCCCACTAAGATATGTCTGCTGCTGACACATGAATCCCAGAATCCCTAGGAAGGTGCCCTGGTTCCATATTCTCCAGATCAGAAATTACTATACAGTTTGCTATACAATACCAGCTGTTAGAAAATGTGTTGCAATCTCAAAGCCTGCCCATTCCATCATTTTAAGCTAGTGGTTTGGTGCAAAACAGTAGTAATGCCATGCTAACATTATCTTGGTGATCTGTTGGTTGGTTGACAGCACTACATTAAATGTGGTACAAGCTTTATGCATGTAGTTCATAATTGCATTGGCAGGCAAGTAAGTACTCGTCACAGCTGTGTCAGCTCTTAGAAAGATTCTGTCTTGACCTAATCTGCACATTTAGCAATATTGTACAAGAGCAATATTCCAGTGTTTAACTTGGAACTGCATCTTAGACAACTTCAGGGTTGCTTTATTATGTAATCACAGGGTGTAACTGCCATGCAGACACAAACAATTATATCACAAAACTTTATATATCTGGAAATTATTATTATACATCAGGAAGGAACCTGGAATCTCTGCTTTAGGGTCATCATTGGCCTGGGGTTCACATAACGCTAAGCCATGGTTTGTTTAAACCAGGGGTTGGCAACCTGCGGCCCATGAGCCACAAGCAGCCAACGGGGGAGCAGGGACTCATTTCCACGGCACCGGAAATTGTGTCTGCGCAGACGCAATCCGGCCCACAGAGCAATCTCCGCGGGAGTGAACCAGCTCAGGCAAAGTAAACCTTGCAGATCCCTGGTTTAAGCCATGGTTTGTTTGAACAAACCACAAGATAACCACAAGTTGTATCACAGACCACAAGATAACCACAAGTTGTATCACAGACAATCAAGCAAACCATCTCCTGTCTCTCCAAACTTTGGTTGTTTTCAAGATGTTCTTGCCATGTGCCTTTATAGCTTGGTGAGGGTCATGAGTGGCTAAAGAAGCTATAGTTAAGGAAGTGGGCTGGATTCACATGTAACATTTCACTATAGTTGAAATAAGCAAAGGTTTGTAAGCTCACAAAAACCATGGCTCCATGATTTAATAATAAATGACTTAGTGCTATGTGAGAACCAGGCATCCACTGCCACAGATTAATCTATATAATTTTAATCATTTGTTTTCTTACATTTATATCCTGCCTCTCTTTCATGATGGAACCCAAGGCAGCATTCATTTGATTTCCAGGTGGTCACCCATCTAGGCACTGACCAGACCTAGACTGTTTAGCTTCAGCAAGTTCATGTGACTTCAGACCATACCATGGTTTGTGCCTCCACCCTATGTGCTACAATGTGCAGTGAACATGAACAAAGTTTACCACAGTGATGTGCTTTAAGAGCATGTAGCCCTGAATGTTTCAAATAAGTGAGCCAATTCAGGCACTACACTATTGGGAAATCTTTTGTATTTGTACCCCTTTTGGATGAGGATCAAAGGAGGTACCGTGCAAGTTGCAGCCCCAAACCACACAGTGTTTTTTTCATGTACATGTGGCTACAGGTGAGATGCTACATGTCAGAGAAGAGTCTTGTATGCTCTGCAGTAAATGCTCCAGTATTTTCTGTGTCCTCATTATGTTCCTTTGCCAAGAAGAAACCAAGCCATTCTTTGCTGCCCAATACTTACTAAAACATAAATATAAAACAATATTTCATCAGTGTACATATAATGATACAATAATACATCATTTCAGAGTTTGTGGCTTTCTGGTATGATGAATTGCACAGTGGGTGAAGTTTTCACGCTTAAGCTTTGCTGTTTTCTCTGAAAACCAAATGGGCGGAAATTTTCGCTTCGCATTCTAAACATGCGTCTGTGATTGTCGCTGCCATTATCTGGGTCTACAGATAGGATGAAAAATTAGGTCAGGTTTGAAGATGACTTACTCCAACCATGATTACTAAGTCATCAAGGCTTTTCAGCAACAAGAGAGCGACTCCCAAATAAAACTTGGCAGAATGCCTAGGCTACCTCATCAGTGTGTGCAGAATATATAGTCCCTTATTTTGGAAGGAATCGGTTTCACATGAAGCTGCTGGTATTAATGAAATCATTAATAGACTCCTAGGGTTGTTAATTTTCCCAGCAATGCAGTAAAGGTGAATATGGTTTACTATTTATATAGGACCATAAATGTCTGTGGCACTTTCCAAACTATTTGAGGACGGTTCCTGCAAAAAGAAAAAGAAAAAAAGGAGTTTGCAATGTAGCATTTGCTATGGGGGAGACCACAGAGTAAGAGGACTAGGACAAGAATATAATTTTTTTATTTTCGTTGCACGTACCGTATTTTTCGCTCTACAACACGCACCCGACCATAACACGCACGTAGTTTTTAGAGGAGGAAAATCCGTAGGCATGCCACCCGTAGGCATTCCCTCCATAACACGCACACACATTTCCCCTTACTTTCTAGGAGGAAAAAAGTGAGTGTTATGGTGCAAAAAATACGGTAATTAGGCTTAGGGCCTAACTTCATGTGATGTTTATCGTGTTTGTCCTTAAATGCAAGTTCAGCCCAGATTGGGACTCTCGGTTGTTGGTGGTGTATTTTTAACCATGTGCCCTCTGCTGTGAGTTTTCTGGCTGGGGCAGCTTCCTCGTTTCTGCCAAACTGCTGCTGCTGCTCAATAGCACTAGGCCCAGGGAGACAGGACCAGAAACAGGCATCAGCACTGGTGGACCCTGTTCCCCTGACAATTCCCTGAGGATGCCTGGTACTACTTGTAGGCTTGCAATCTAGGCGACAGTAATTTTTAAAGGGAATGATGTGTCCTACTATCTGCTGATCACTGGCTCCTGATGCTTGGCTAGTTGCTTCAGAGAATTTTGAAGGGGAAATGGTATCCTGGAAAGGCTGCTGCAGCAGGGAGCTTTCTAGATTACATGCCCTCTCTTTTTAAAGAAACCATCTGCAACCTGCATTCCCAAGGAGATTCTATTCTCAGATTCACCTTTTTTCCCTCTCTCTCTGTTTATTTTCTCTGCTCCATCCTCTGCCCCTGCTATTATCGAACTCAGTGGTGAAATTGTCATTGATTTTTATAATCACATTCTGTGTGGCCTTTATGCATTGAAACAGAGCTGGAAATTTTCAAATCCCGTCTTAAAAGCAGGAACAGCAGCATGGGCGTGCCATTAAAAACCCAGAAATCAGCAAAATCATCATTTTAAAAGGTCCAATCGGTCTCAATCTGCTTTTGCTTAATATAGTTTCTGTCTCTAATGATGATTACAGTGGTGCCTCGCAAGACGAAATTAATTCGTTCCGCAAGTTTTTTCTTCTTGCGAGTTTTTCGTCTTGCGATGCACGGTTTCCCATAGGAATGCATTGAAAATCAATTAATGCGTTCCTAGGGAAACCGACTTCAGACCAGGTCCGGGGACAGACTGTCCCCGGACCTCTTCTGAAGGCTGGGGGGACAAGGGCTTTTCTTCCCACCCCCAGCATTTTAAAACCCCGGGACAGCGGAGGGCTTCTCCGCTGTCCGGGCGATCTTAAAATGCTGGCGGGCGGCATTTAAAATTGCCCGGGACAGCGGAGGACTTCTCCGCTGTCCGGGGCAATTTAAAGCCCCTGGGAAGGCAGGCAGGGGGACAAAGACTTTGCCCCCGCCAGCCTTCAGAAGAGGTCCTGGACCTCTTCTGAAGGCTGGCGGGGCGAAAGTCTTGTCCCCCCACCTGCCTTCAAAAGCTGTCCAGCCAAGGCTTCGCGGACCTCTCCGCAAGCAGCGGCAGCTCTGCCGCTGCTTGCGTAGAGTTGCCGGCAACCCTAAGCCTGCGCGCGCTCACAACCGCGGGCCCAGGCTTCGCGGCCCTCCCCGCGAGCAGCGGCAGCGCTGCCGCTGCTCGCGGAGAGTTGCCGGCATGCCGAAGCCTGCGCGCGCTGAGATCAGCGCGCCCAGGCTTCGCGGACCGGAGATTTCCCTATGGGCTTTCGTCTTGCGAAGCAAGCCCATAGGAAATTGCTTTATGAGCGCCTCCAAAACGGAAAACCCTTTCGTCTAGCGGGTTTTTCGTCTTGCGAGGCGTTCGTCTTGCGGGGCACCACTGTACTTTTTTCCTAAAAGGACAAATCAAGTAGGGGAAGCTTATGCATGTAGAGAAAATGGTGAGAGCTTGACACCTCTTCAAATGAGGAGAGAAATTAAAGCTCCTAATAACTCAGAGACAATGTTGAATAACAAAGAGGACCAGTTGGAATCTGCAGAGCAGTTCGCATTAATAAAAGCAAGTGAGATATAAATCACCCAAATGGGTAATTATGTGATGTTTATAACTGGTTGAAACGAAGATAATTAATTATTTTGAAGGCCCCAAATGCCACTGAAGTCAGGATAGTGAAGTAATTATCTCCAGCTTCTGTCAAACATGAAGCAAGTTTAAAGTAAGTAAATAAAAATGAAAAATCCAGGACCACAAAGGAAAGGTAGCTGTTGAAATGTAGTTCAGAGTTTTGGATTTGTTCGAATTGTATTCTTCGTTTTGTATAACACTGGGAACAGGGACAGACTTTGGTCTTTCAGATTTCAGCGGCCCCCTGTGCAAGACCAAAATTCGGCACCCCCACTGCCTCTTGCCTTCCATTCTGTGTGTGCCCTACGTCATACTTGCAGCACCCTATGGTGCCCCCCTCAGTTCGACGCCCAGTGCTGGGGGGATCCAGTTGTGCTGCCCTAAATCTCCCTCTGCTAGGGACCAAAACTTGCATCCAATGTAGCCCTAAGCAACTCTCCCATCGGCATACGGATTTGTTCTTGTGCAACACCAGAAATCCCCTGCTCCTCCTATGCAGACCCAATACAGTGGTACCTCGGGTTACATATGCTTCAGGTTACATACACTTCAGGTTACAGACTCCGCTAACCCAGAAATAGTGCTTCACGTTAAGAAATTTGCTTC